ATGAGCAGTTTCAGCCTCACGCGCATAGGCATTCAGGTGTGCTGTTCTGGAAAGATTGTTAGAATATGAATACAATATGTATTTATAAGAAATCAGTTTGACTGAGATCAGGCTTCATTGATGTATTTTTTTAAAGAGGATTTTTGTCGAGAATCAAATATATTGAAGGTAATTTTTTATAAAACTGTTTTTCTCGTATTTTACTATAAAAATGCATTTTTATAATTGTGTTTTACCCCAGCTTGGTGGTTAACTATTTGCCAATATTTGTGACCCTAACAGGTGCTACCAGCCTGGGTCAGGTTGGACCTGGAAACAGCAGCAATATGAGGTGGTTCTACTCTCCTCAAAATCTCCCGATCAAAGGCTTTGTTGCCGAATGTAGTTTATCGTCAAAGCCAGGACGCCTGTTACTTTGGAAAACAAACTCCCGAGAAGATTACTTTCTTCACCACTACAATTTTAACCTATTCAAGTCCAGGGACAATTTATATTTATCCTGTATACTATCATAATATCCACTTCTTTTCTCCTTCTTCCAGCTTCGAAAATCTCAATCAATTAGTCTCTATCTTAAATGACTTTTGTGCCTTTCTTTTTACGTTCTTTCTTATCGTGTATTTTCAGCCTGCATTGCTTATTATGTTGTATGTTATTATGTTAGCAAATAAGTGCATGGGCGAAAGTTTAAAAATTGATTGACTTAAAGAACACTGAATCCCAATGACATGTCTACAGAAGTAAGTAAAAATAAACTGATTTAGACAAAAAAGCAGCTTTGTTTAATCCCTTGAACCTCAGTTAATTGCTCAAACCCCCGAAGCTTTCTCAGTTGTGTGAAATAATTGATTCACCATTTTTCAAATTTAGAAATACATTTTCGTTATTAATTTTGACTATTTTTTGCTCCTTTTTATGTAACCTTTTTTTTGTATACACCCAAAACTAAAATAATAGATTTAAGAGTCTTAAGTTGTGTGAATTTCTTAGATGAAGAGTTGTCATTCACTTTTTTATAGTTCTTTTTGTCTTCGCTATTTGTTGTATAGTCGAGGTGAATGATACACAGAAAATAATAAGTGCTTAATATATTTATTCAGCACCAGTATCTGGTGCTAACGGATACATACAAAAAAATAAATAAATAAATAAGAAAAAAACACAAAACAATAAAAAATGGCACAAAACAATAAGTTATAAAACAATTCAGAAGACAACTTACAAGGAATAGAGGAGGGTCACATACTGTATAGCCAAACGAATTAAGATCAGTCCGAATATTAATCAGCTTAGTATCAACTTATTTAGATTTATTTTGTACGTGTACAAAATTGTGGCACAAGGCCGAGAAGGGGAATTGAGTTGAGGCTGGTCTTCACAATCTTATACTTAGCTAATCCGATTCACGACCCATACATTCATTTCAATTCGCAAATTCATCACAAGAACTCATCCGTCACCAATCAATATTCCATATTCCATAATACCGCATACTCTAAGAGAACCTAAAAAATGTACCCCGTGACATAAAAATTTAATCATTATAAAAATTATACATAAAAATCTATGGATGATTTGCAATGAAAGGGGATGTTTAGTATCAACGTATTAATCAACTGCTGAAGTCCTTAATCGTAGACTATTTAAAGCTATGGGCCAGGCCATCTGGTAAGGTGCTGAAGGGGTGCTAGCTACTCTACAACACTATTATCGCAACGTTCAGATGTATTTTACATTCTACCACCATTAAATCTGCAAGATGTTATTTTAATTCTGTGGGTCCCTTCCTTCCTTAGTTAGTACGTACGTTATGCCCAGCCAGTACCTAAAAAGTAATGGACTATTCCGTTTTGATCCCGAGGACAGCCAGAAAAGATATATCAGTGAGGCTATTTGATTTCATTGAGAAAAACAAAGATCGAACGAACGAAAGAAATCAAGAAAGAAACGCTTTGCCAATACATAATAAATAGATGGTCAGAATTTCACATGCTAAGGTATATTAAATCTGTGGCCTTTATCTAAATTTAAAATAATTATGCATAATTATTTTTTATTAATGATTGTATATAGTTTTTTTTTTTACGGTTTAGTCTTAAAGAATAAAAACTAGTTGTAAAATAATAATATATTTAAAAAAAAAAAAATTGAGGCCCCCGAGGATGTGCGGCTCTAAGTTATAGCTTATTTAGCACTGTATATTTTTTTTTTAACATACAACGTGTGTTAGCACGTGCAATACCCTGTCTTCATCAGCCGCCGGCTAGGAGTGATATCACGATTTCGGTAGCTATGGCGGGACTGCCACCCCTGGCGACACCAGCAGCGTTTGCCACCAGGCAGGGTATGAAGATAAGCTAATTAATCGTTCCTTTAAGTAAAATCTACCTGCAATGAAAGTTCCGTTTTGATCACGAGGAAAGACGAAAAAGACACACCACAGACGCTATTTGATTTCAGTAAAAAAAAAGAAAGAAAGAAAAAATTGTATGCATAAAATATTGTATGCATAGATTACCGCAATGTTTTTAAAATTACGTGTTATCTTAGAGTTAAGATTTTAATCATTAATAAAATTTCAAGTAAACTTTAAAATAATGTACCATAATTGCACAGTAATTATGCTTTTACGGTATGTGTAATAAACTTCCATTATGTGTCATTAAACTTTCATTACTCCCATGAAATTGTATAAATGACACACATGCCATATCTAGTTGTCTGAATGGCAGCTTCAGTTAAACAACGCTTCGGACGGTGTTTCCACTTAGTGTATCAGTTGTTGGACGCGATGTTGTGTTGTTGCGGTAATAGGATATTTAGAATTTTTTGTTACTATTTTATTATTTTATATTAATTTATGTGTATTAATGCCAAATATGTTCATCAAACAGAAATTTTAGTGAGATATACAGTAGCGCCCAAAATTAAGGAACTAAATTTAAAATTTCGAGATCCCAAAAGATAAGCAAAGTCTAATCAAATGTCTGTGGATGCCGATGTGCAACAGTGATTCAAAGCAAGAGCTTAGCAGTTTTGATAAGACATTTTGCATTTTGTTGTCCAACTATTTTTCATTAAAAACATTGTTTTGTTCCTTAATTTTGGACACTTGATATTTGCATAAAGAATTAAATGAATCATCGCTCTCTCTCTCTCTCTTTCTCTCTCTCTCTCTCTCTCTCTCTCTCTCTCTGTATCATTCCAAATTATTTACAAATTTAAAACACAATTCAACTGCCATTTGTTGACATGTAGTGAAAATTTCAGAACAATTATTTTGAGATATGAAAGTTTTAATGTTTGTTTCTTAATTTGGGACGCTTTTATATTTGTGGTACCCTGCTGGAGATGCGATAAGTGATGTACAATGTTAGCAGCGCTGTCCCATTTGTTTACTACTCGGTGATAAAGGTTTGAGTTTTATACTCGTCATATAAGTCGACTCCTAGTTTTGGAAATATTTTTTTAGACTTGAAAACTTGATTTTTGTACACCGCAATTTACGGTACTTCTTTATTTCCGATAGATGTCGCTTGCTTAACGCTCGTAGAATCGAAAAGACGGTCTCAATAATAAAAAAGAAAAGATGCAAAGAAAAACAAAGCATAGTGGTGGGGGGGTGCTAGACAGACTTCCCAAAATCTGACCAAATTACAAAATATGTATTTGTTTATTAATCTCTTATTGTTGTTAAGATATCTGGGCAGATAGCCACCGAAGAGCCACCGAAATATTTCGAAATTCACATTAAGCTCGTGTCTTTGAAAATATGTAAATGACCATTGAGTATGAAAGATGTTGTCTTAGATTGCTGAAAGAGATTTTAACTTCCCTGGATTAGATACAGATAACAAGGCCAAGTTCTTTGCTTGAAGAATTCGAATTCTAGCAAACCTTTTTTTTATATAATTGCCTTCCTCAGAACGCCCCATCACACAGTATAAAGATTGCATTTCAAATGTTTTTCCTTTATGAATTGGAAGCATAAAAATCAAGCAACTAGAAAACATTAAATACCAAGCAAGTGTGACACCGAAATCCGAAGGGACATCGGAATAGCGAAAGATACCTTCGCAATCCGAAATGGCATTGGATTAGCGAAAGTTACCTTCGTAATCCGAAGGGGTATTGGAATAGCGAAAGATGCCTTCGAAATCCTAAAGGGCATTGGAATAGTGAAAGATGCCTTCGAAATCCTAAAGGGCATTGGAATAGTGAAAGATGCCTTCGAAATCCTAAAGGGCATTGGAATAGTGAAAGATGACTTCGAAATCCGAATGGGGCATTGGAATAGATTCATACTTTCCCAAAAGTATTATTCGGTCTATTCCGCAGGTGAAAATTTAACTTGGCACGCTATTTTTCACTTTCCAGTCTCAATAGAGTCCAAAAGTGTCTCAGTGTCCTTGTGGGTGGCAAATCATTTTCCACCCTCCAAGCCTCTCACAGGCGGAATGTGGCAAGCCTTTGGATGCTCTGTCACTACTTTCATGGAAAGTTGTCGGACAAACTACATTCCTTGGTTCCGTCAAGTTTATCCTTCACGTCGAGAATTCCCTTTGGCACTTACATTGTAGCAAACCACTCCGTATTCCACCGATGAGAAGTAAGTTCCACTCGAACAGCTTTTTCCCACTAAAACACTGCTCTGTAGAACCAACTCCCAAAAAGGACGTTTCCCAGATCACAACAATCTTAGCCTGTTCAAGTCTAGAGTTAACCGTTATCGTCCCATCTTAACCATATAAACTACCCATTAACGTAACATTCTACCTCAAGTGTCCCTCGGGCATTGCACAGGATGATTCTTACTGTAAAAAAAATAGCGATGCAAATCCTACTAAGTAACCCATAGCTGGGGGAGAAGACATGGATTCATACCTTTCCCAAGATTATTTGCGGGTAAGCGAATATAAACCACCCACCTGGAATTGAAACACAACCCTCCGATTAACACTTCAAAGCCGTTATCCATTATACAAACACGTACTTTTGCATGTAGACTACCCAACCAGTCACCCATCTAGATACTGACCAGGTTAGACGTTGCTTAACTTCGGTGATCGTATGGGAACTGGTTTTTCAACATGATGTGGCCGTAAGCCTCACATATTTTAAATAACGTATTAAAACAATGCTGTAATGACAATATTGTTACAAAGACAACGTTGATGTGATACGTGTGTCCAATGTTCGGAAATTAATCTTAGAATTCGTTCATTAAATCACTTTATGAGCTATTGTATTTCTGAAATAGATTTCACATTATCCAGTAATCCAGTGTTCATCTTTGATGTTTCCCCGATCACTACAATCTTAACCTGTTCAGGTCTAGGGTTAACCGTTATCTTCCCCTCCTCTTCGTACAAAATGTCTCCTAACGTAACCCTCTACTTCGAGTGGCTCCCAGTTCGCTGTACAGGGTGAAACTTATTGTAAAAAAAAAAAAAAAAAAAAAAGAAGCGTCGATAATGACTACACTACGCTTTTCCTATAATTCGCCATCTATTTTAAAATAGCCACCAAACCGAGTTTATACAGTGTAACCCGGATATAAGAGACCCGGATATAAGAGAAACCCGGATATAAGAGAGCTTTTATCTGGTCCCAAAGTGTTCCCATACTTACCTAAACAAAATAGACCAAACCCGGATATAAGAGAAACCCGGATATAAGAGACTTCTTCTCCGGTCCCGACAACTCTCTTATAAATCCGGGTTACACTGTATTAATAACTGAGATTTTTTTTTTTCTACTGACTGACGGGTTCCTGTTTCGATTTTTTTCCATTATTCACTGGCACTCTTGAACGTTAATTTTGGAAATGACGAATTCTACGCCTTTAGACACTTTTGGACTCGAATATTAAACGTCCTTTTTAGTTTTTTTTTTTAATTACATGACGATGAAATGTAATGGAAGTAGTTCTTATAAAAGAAAAAAAAAGCGCACCATTTTTATTATATCATACTTGAAATGTAATATTCTCTTTTAAATTGTTCGGATGAGCTCTTCGATTTGGTACCCAGACTTAATGAATTTAAGCGGAGTGCCAGAATTGCGGTATCGATACACAGTTGAGCTTGCTAGATGTAACCGTAAGTTCTATGCTAACAGTTTCTTTTCTCGCATTTCCCGCTTGTAGAACTCCATGAATTCCGGCTAAGTTTAATCTTCAAAAATGTAAATGCAATGTCAATCGTTATCTACTGTCCTTCTGATTACTCTTCTTCTCTACTCGCTCCTTAGTAAGGTTCTGTTTTCTAATTCTTCCACAACCAGTAAACACTTGTGTTTTAGTGGCTTTACTGCCTTGCTTGGGGTGAACTTGGTTAAAAAAAGAAAAATCATGCTCATTAACGTTAAGCTTTATTTTAATACTTTCACTTGCTATTTACTGCCATTTTTGCTGAGAGATTTTCCTGAATTAGTACCCCCCCCGATTTGGCTTTTTGCGTTTTTCTTAAACTGAAATAATTTTTTTGATGTCAAATGTGTTAACTTTAGCAATTTCTTGCATTATTTTTAATCATTTGTTCCCAAGCAATGCGATAATGCCACTAAGACGCAAAGTGTTTGTTATACTGGAACACACCTATTCTATTGTTAATAGACTCACCCACCTATAATAAGTAGGAGTAGTAGCAGTCGCTTAGGGAGAGGGCTCAGTGAGTTGGTGAGTCAGTCGATGCCGGACGACCGTTAGTCGGATATTAAAGTATCAGCCACCACAACTAGATTGCTGTGTCATTAACTATTATATCAAGTTCCTAACGTTTTGTACGTCGAACCTATTTTAGGACCGACTTAGTGAAATACAAGCCTTAACTACTCTATAACAGTGTTACTGGTGTTGAAAGAGAATGAGAAAACTTTAGTACACAGAAACGACCATAAAAGAACAGATTTCGAGAAGGCAGAAGATGGCGATTGGCCTTTGAATCTAAATTTTTGAAGATTGAAGATAGCAGGGAAACAAAAGACCACAAGAGACTTGCACAGGCGATAACTGCGAGAAAAGAAACTATTAGCATAGAACTTACAGATACATCTAGCATTTTCAACTTTAAACCGTTGAGACCTAATTGCCAATCTAGTATTGCGCTTTAATTGATGCAGTTGAGTTAATAAAGAGAAAAGCAATATTTATCTCCATAATGTAAAAATGTGGCACAAGGTCAAAAGGAGGGATAAAGGAAGGCTGGTCTTCAATCTGTCTTATGCTAAACTGAGCTAGCCACAATTACTGACCCAAACATACAACAGCATTCCTTACACGAAAACAACAAATTCTTAGTTACCATTCTTCCTACAACTACTATAATGCCTCAAAGTCTCTATGAAGCCCTAAGTAGTTCCCATATGTACAATTTGTCTGGGGAGGGGGGAATAAAAATGAAACCCCAATGAATATACATTGAGGATGGCTCATCAGAACAATTGCTATGAAGATATTTATAGAAAAAGCAGAGGGAAACCACGTCACGGCGGTGGAAAATTGACTGAAGACAAAATGCTAGGTTAGGACCAATTGTATTACAGATCGTTATTTGAACAGTGTCGAGAATCAAGAGATATACAGCAGGAGCAGCAGACCAGATATGGCAGCGATATTCAATGTACGGAGGAATAGAAGATTTATAAATGTGCAAGATGAACATTGCTTGCCTATTTCTTTTCGACAACATTGAAGCGATATTTAGCGGCGAATAATTTGAACAAAAAGAAACACGTATTTAAAAAAATATCTTTGAATCTGAATTCAAAGATAGAATCAGCGGCCAAATACACTGTTTCTACCCAAGTTGAATATTATTAAATATAACAGTCACGAAACGAACAGTGCGTTGCCCCTAGTATCGTCGTCAAATCATATATACTTTGACAGAACCACACACGCAGCTTTCTCCTACAGTCTAAGTTTCTGTAAATAGATAGTCGTTAATGTATTTATAACATTCTATGGCATGGTTCTTACATTCACCCACAATCACACATGCATATATATACTTTCACACACACACATACATATATATATATATGTATATATTTCATAAATTAGCATTGAAAAGAGGATTTCTTTTGATTCAATAAATAAAAATATTTAAGATATTTCCTTACAAGCAACCGATTTCTCATTTAAAACATCCGTATAAAACATACAGATGTGTCATTAGAGACATGCACCATATATATATATATATATATATATATATATATATATATATATATATATATGTGTATGTGTGTGTGTGTGTGTGTTGCATGTTTCTGTTATATATATATATATATATAATATCTATATCGTTATGTTTGTGTGTGCGCAGGTACCCCTGCATACAAATTATGCATGTATACACACGGCCACTTTACGGGTACTCATATTTACATATAACACGTTAAACACACTCAAATTGCTATTCATATACGCACGCCTTCGATAACATACGTGAAACGCACACATGCACAGAGACAATCACACATGCAGACTCAAATACACACGATGGTGAATGAAAAGTACTCGATAAAATTCACTTCTTAAAATCTGCTCAAATAGCCATATATCAGAATTTATGTTGTAATCTTTTTTGTTGACGCTGAAAACTTTTCTACGCTCATATATATATACAGGGTGTTTCAATAAGACGGATCAAAGTCAGCAGTAAATCAATGTTTTCGGTGAAAATTTACTTATTTCTCTATTGGATAATATTATTTAAGACATGGCAATTATGTGTAAAAATAATATCGCCCAAATGTCCCCCAAGGCTTCGGTGGCAGAACTCCACTCGATGTTCAAAATGTGTGACGACGTAGTTTCCTCCTCGATTTCACCAATATGCCTTATTATCTCATCCTTCAGCCGTTGAATTGTTGTCTTTTTGGCATAGACCTTACTTTTGAGATGAACCCAAAGGAAGAAATCTAAAGGCGGCAAGTCGCACGATCGTGGTGGCCAATTGACTTCGCTGTTTCGAGAGATGATGCGACTTCGGAACTTCTCAATAAATAATTCGTAATAGGCTTCGATAACTTTAACACTTTGCTTGTTAATCTTTCCATGGTTGAAATTGCCAAAGACTTAAGTTGTTAAATCTGAAAGAAAAAGAGAAAAATCATTAGACGCTTAAACTTAATTCACATTTAAAATCTGTCCAAGTTATTGGAACACACGTCTTTCCACTTTGTCATATATCTTTCCCCAATAAATTGTTCTTGATATATAAAACTGCATATATCGTTATCCAATATATATAGGGTGCGATGGATAAACTGTCTTCTAAATTACGCAAAAATTGAATTAACACTGATATCTCATTTTAACAGATATAATTACCAAAATTACACAAAAATATCTTGAAATACTAAAGAGTAAAATTATTCAATAAAATCGCCTTAGGCTTCAACCTTGGACTACAGACGACTTCGGCATCCCGTGAAACTTTTCTGGACATTCTCCTTGTTTAAGTTGGTGAATGCTGTTATAATCCGTGATTTCAGTTCATCTTTGGGGTTAAAAAAAAGAAGCTTTGTTGGTATCTCGCTCAACAGCGCCCCAGACAAGTGGGGGGTGTAGTCTGGGGAGTTAGTTGGCCAGTTGTTAGGAGTGATGTGGTCGCAGAAATTGTCTGACAGTTTGACTGGGTTTTCCTGCATGTGGTATGGTGAAGAGTCCTGTTGCTGACATAGGGTCTTCTAGCAGCCACCATCTTGAGAAAGTGCTGCACTACCTCGTCAAGGCATTTTGTGTTTGAGGTTATGTGGCAGCATAACTTCGCCATCACTAATGATCACTCCAAACAACTTCGTAATCATCCAACTCTTTCTGAATCCTCTGCATTGCCCTTAGATTGACACCCCAACACTCTGAAATGTTCGTGTTGGAGCTTCCGGTTCGAATGTCAAGCAGTACAGCGTGTCGTTTCCATCTTTCTGGCGGAGTGAATTGCGTCATGGTACTCTTTTTCTCACAGACGGTGCCCAACTGCAGAAAAAGTCAAAAACAAACAACGCGCATGCGCAAAATTAAAAATATAAAATGGCGACAATTTACTCATCGCACTCTCTCTATATGTGTGTGTGTGTGTATGTGTGTGCGGGT